CTGCTGGAGACGGTCCCCGGCAGACCTGGGGCATCGGGAGCAGCTTTTCTCGCCCCGGAGGTCGAGGTGGCGGATCGCTGCCTGCGAGCTCCGGGGCGAGAAAGCCCCGTTCGTAAGTGCGGATTCGACATAAGTCGGAGCTGCGTAATTCGGGGACTGCCTGTACTTGTTCAGCCTGACAGGCACAAAGGTTGCTGCTGCTGGAATAATTTGCATGAGAAAGGTTACAAATACATTGTTGATTTGCTCCTGGATAAATCCTCCAGTAAAGCATTGCCTCTGCATCTGGGACAGTGGAAAATCCTGGTGTAAAAACATGTAGAATTAATTATAATACTAAGCTTTTATTTAAACAGACACAGACAATTTAAAAACCACTTTTCCGTTTGAAAATTGTATTGCCAACGCTCTGAAATATCAGAATGGCAAAATTGTAGGAAATGATATATTTCTCTTGTTTACTTTGGGCAGTTGTATTTTTGCTAATTTCACTTTTTTGTCCAGATAGTCACTTAGGGCCTAATCTGTAATTGCACTCACCCACTTGCCTAAAACAGAGATTTTGAACCTCTTACTCACATTAATGAATTATCTACCTGAGTAGTGTTGCTGGGATTAGTCAGGTAAGTAACTCTACAACAGCATAAATAATGGTTAAAATTCTGGCCCCTTTTGGAAGATCAACTTACTACATTTGTTTTGAGTTTTTTAAAGAACAGGGGAGAGAGAGTTTTAAAAAATGTGATTGTAAACTACAAAGAGGATTCTGGCGACGTGTAGTGTATGAACACATTTTTCATTTAAAAGATTTAAAAGGGGTTTTTTTCCATTCCCAAAATACAGCCATCATGCTAAACTTTTGCATTTTCTGACTTTGTGTTCTATTTCAGTTACTGCCTTATAATTGCTGTAATATATTTGTTCATTTAATTTTAAGTATATATTACCTCCAAAAATTTGAAAATGTAAAATCACTAAGTTATCTGATACATTTTCTAATAATGCATTAGTTCTCATCAAGGCACTAGTTGGCAAGGAGACATAAAAAATTTATCTACTCATGTTGCATATCCTTAAAAAAATGTTCTGTGGATATTTTGTATGTCAGTGCAATGTTTTTACATGTAATATCAATGTACTTCCAATATTCAGTGCAAGTAACTTGTCTGTCCTTGACAAACATATGTTACATACAACATGGGTAGAAATAAAATAATTGAAAAGTTACTGAATTTTAAACTGAGGGTTGTAAGTAACCAGACAGGCTCTGTATCGTGTGTTCATTTGCCATTCATGGCAGATCAGACTTGAGCTTGTGGCATCTTTGTATATCATTGTACACTTTCAAAATGGTAATTGAGACAATTTCTGTCATAATCCATAATTTGTAATCATCTGGACAATGGTGTGGATGCAATTAAATGAGAAAACAACAGTCTCACATTATATCTATATTGTATTTTAGAGGACATTATATCTATATTGTGTTTTAAGTCTCTTCCCCCTTAGAAGTGGCATTCTTGTATGCTGTTGATATCTAGTAGGTATCCCAGTACGTACCAAGATGTAGATTTGAGAAAATAGTTGTTCATTTCCTTTATTGCAAAAAAATATGTAGGCAGTCTACAGTTAAAAGGGAAGCAGGAGACACTGTTACTTGTGATTATTACCCAGTAGTCTTTCTATTTTAGAGCTAACATCTCTGGCAATATAACGTTTATGCTGTGTTTATCTGGTATATCATAAGACTATTACAGGCAGTCCCTGGGTTACGTACAAGATAGGGACTGTAGGTTTGTTCTTAAGTTGAATTTGTATGTAAGTCGGAACTGGTACATATTGTAGGAGAAACTCTAGCCAAACATTTCTCCAGAGCTCAGTTTTATTCTCCCACACCTCACTTCCCTCAGTCCTTTATTCTCAAGCTGAAGTGTCTGCTGAGAAAAGCCGCTCCGCGTCTCCCTGGTCTGCTGGGGGGGGGGGCACTAGCTTCACGTCTCCCTGGTCTGCTGGGGGGAAGCAGCTAGTGCGGGGTTGCCTCACCCCATTTGTAAGTAGGGATCCGATGTAAGTCAGATCCATGTAACCCGGGGACTGCCTGTATTTACTGTTTAATTACTGCAGTAATAATTTGTTTGAAGAAGGGTTGCCAGAGAAAAATCATCTTTTCTTGCCCAGTGGCATCCCCAAAAAATGTTTTGCCTGGCTCTGAATATTCAGTAGTATCCTATTTATAAAATGCAGTTTTCCTTTCTTCTGCATGTTTTCTGTAGTTCGCATATTAAGCCTATGATAATTACTCAATCCTAAGAACGGTACTAAGAAATCTCATTGAAATCCACTGGTCACACTCAATATGGTTCATTGTCTACCTTGTTCTGTATCTCTGGTACATTAACTTGACTTCTCCTTTCTTGGAAATCTCTGAGATAAATCAGTTTACAAGAGGAAGTTAGCTTTTGCTGTTATACATTTTTACAAAAACCTCTGAAAACATTTTAAGTTAACAGTGATTCGTCTAAAGAAAAAGAGAGTACTTCTATGTAAGCAGCACTTCCTATCTTGTATTTTTATTACTTTGTAGACTCTTTATTTTACTTAATTTACATGTAATTTCTAAAAATTTCCCTAGCTCGAAAAACAAAGAAGAAGATCAAAGGAATTCAGCAGTCCAGTGTGACAGCAGCCAGGGATGCTTCTGAAAGTCCAGTAAGCAAGACCATAGTTCCTGCATCTCTACCACAGTTAACCCCTACTCTGGTTTCCCTGCTGGAAGTCATTGAGCCGGAAGTTCTGTATTCGGGCTATGACAGTACGCTACCTGACTCAACGTGGCGTATAATGTCAACTCTCAATATGTTGGGAGGACGGCAAGTGGTAGCTGCAGTAAAATGGGCAAAGGCAATACCAGGTAACATAAGAGATATTTGGTTAAAGGGTTTTTGTCCCAAATCATAGTATTTAATCTTTTACTTTGTTTCCTTTAAGACCTTTCTGGACTCACTCTTATTGATTAATATCTTATCTCAATTTTGTTTCAAATACCTATCCTCAAAACAGACATAATATAGACCCAAAATCTCTTTTTGGTTTCTTTGGGTTACTACATGAGGTTAAATTAACTTGGACTGTTCAGTCCCTGGGGGATAAAACAAACCCACCACATGAATAGTTTTTTAAAAATGCTAACACAGAAAAAGAGAAATCTTCCTGGTTTTGTTTCCACAGAAGTTTTCAATGCTTCATTGTTAATTTTTAGCAAGAGGGTCCCTATCATTCAGGAAGCAACCCATTTCTCAATCCCTTTCTCCTTTATTGAATTGGCCAGTATTTTTTTGTCTTCATAGCCACTTTGTCTTCTACTTCCTCCACTTTACCCATCCTTCCTACCGGAATAGGAAGTCATAATCACCTCTAATCTCAGGCCAGAAGTAAAACCTATTTACCACAGCTGCTTCCACAAAATTTAGTGTGTTATGTGGAACTCTTAAAGGAGAATTGCAAATATATTTCCTATTTGTGGAGTCAGTAAGGATGCTGTATTTACAGCTTGCTTTGGCCTTCTGTCACATTAGAAAACAGGTAGCTAAAATGAATCCTCCAGTTCCGACATCATTCATGGCATCCTATTGTATGGTCTTTGGACAGACTGATAAAGTGGTGATGTTCAGCATTTGAGGGTGCTATAAACAGGAAAACTGACACACCTGTTTCTGCTGTGTTTGGCTATAGTCAAGTGCTATTGGCCACTTACCTGTTCCATTAATAAATCTGAAGAGTGACATACAAAGTTACAACATAACTTGCCCTCTCATTTTACAAGGCGGTCTCATCTTTTTTGAAAAATATGCCTATTTGGAGTTGCAAGGAAAGATTAGATTCAAACATAAATTTACCCATGCCAATGGTAAAAACATAAGAATGGCCATACTGGGTCAGACCAATGGTCCATCTAGCCTAATATCCTGTCTGCCGAAAGTGGCCAATACCAGATGCCCCAGAGGGAGTGATCACAACATGTAATCCTCACGTGATCCCTCCCCTGTCACCCACCTCCAGAGAAACAGAGGCTAGGGATACCATTCCTACCCATCCTGGCTAATAGCCATTGATGGACCGAACCTCCATGAATCTATCTAGCTCTTTTTTTGAACCCTGTTAAAGTTCTAGCTTCACCACCCTCCTAATGAAGTAGCGTTTCCTAATTTCCACCCTAGACTTCCCCCACTGCAACATGAGACCATTGTTCTGCCATCTGTCATTCTGAGAACAGCCTGTCTCCATCCTCTTTGGAACCTCCCTTCAGGTAGTTGAAGGCTGGTATCCAATCCCCCCTCACTCTTCTCTTCTGCAGACTACACAAGCCCAGATCCTTCAGCCTCTCCTCGTAGGTCATGTGCTCCATCCCCCTAATCATTTTCGTTGCTTTCCACTGGTTCCTCTGCAGTGCATCCACATCCTTTCTATAGTGGGGTGCCTAGAATTGGATGCAGTACTCCAGATGTAGCCTTACCAATGGTAAATGAAGGGCACAGGCTTGTTTATTTACTCTTGTTTCTTGCACTGCTGCAGAATTGTCCTCCATTTGGGATATCACAGTTGGTTGCTGTGGAAATGTTTTACAGTGAGAGGATGATTACCTCAGACACAAAATATATAGGGTTACCAGTGTTGCTTGGATGTATACCTGGAGGTTTCATCACATGACATAATCTTTAATTCCTAGAGAATCCAAAACAGTCTTGAAAGTTTGGCAACCCTAAAAATAAACAACACAAGCAAATGGAACCGATAAGGAACAGAGATTCTTTTGTTAACCCTAGTACCTAACAACATAAATGGTGAAACAGATGTTTAGAAAAGAAGATAAGCTGTATCCTGAAGTTTTCACTTTGGGAGAGATTTGTCTGAGCAAAGCTTGAGTGAAGGCTACAGGGCTTGACCCAACAGATTTGAAATTAGTTCTAAACATCACTATTAATGTTTATACAAGTAGCAATACAGAGGGGGGGGGTTTCCTACCTTCAGTGATGGCCTGCCTTTATTTTGAAGTAGACCTGATTAAGAGGCTATATAATTTGGTCATATATTAATTCACCTGATATTATCATTTTAAAGAGTTATGGAAAATAGCACAGCAGTGACCTTTTTTGGGGATGTCAAGTATCTGATGGAGTTAAATGAAGTCAACTCAAATCTAAATTTGATAAGGACTCAGTGTGGCAGAAAATCTTGCTAAAAACAACCAGGGCTTGACATGATCTACCACCATAGATTAAAAGCTGCCTGCATTTTAAATCTGCTCCAGGAAGCAATTTTAAAATATACCACATCTTCATTGTTTAGCATTTAACAACATAAAATACAGAAGTACTTGATTATATCTATTTATTGCAATTTGACCCAATTTGTATGTCTTAAAGTCTCCATGCACCATAGTAATTAAAAAGAAAAGAAAAGAAACACATGTTGCTATGTATTAATAACGCTTTATTTGTAATGATAATTTTTAATAGTGGGTGAGACAAATCCCTGTCAGAGATGGTCTAGATCAGGGCAAGCTAGCTGGCTGGGAAATGCTCTGTTTACATGCACCTCCGCAGGTATGGGTAGTTGTAGTCCTTGTTGCCTATGGATTGCCATTCCTGGCCAGTCAGAGATGTGGGAAGCAGTGTCCTGGTCTGCACCACTTCCTGCAGCTCCCATTGGCCAGGAATAGCAATCCGTGGCTAATGGGAGCTGCAATCAGCCATACCTATAGTGGTGCAGGTAAACAAAGCGCCTCGTGGCCAGCTAGGCTACGTCTACACTACATGCTTCTTGTACAAGAAGCCTTTTGTGCAAGAGTTTTTGTGCAAAAACTTCTTGCACAAGAGCACGTCCACACCTCAAAGCACATCGCAAAAGCGATGTGCTTTTGCGCAAGGGAGCGGCCACACTGAATGGCCATCAGAGCCACCTGTGCTTTTTCCCCATAGCAGTTTCTTGCACAAGAAACCCCTCTGGAATGTCCACACTTGCCTTTTTGCACAATAGCTGTAGCGCAAAAAGGAGTTATGCCTTGTAAAAGGAGGTTTACCTACACTGGCAAAAGCCCTCTCTTCTGCCATTTAACTGTTGATTTACTTGTGCAAAAGCGCATTTGAGGTGTGGACGCACCACAGGTTTTTGTACAAAAACCTTGCAGTGTAGACGTAGCCCTAGTGACTTGCCCTTACAATCTGTGACCCAGAGTTTGAAAACCCTGGTCTAGATGGTGCTTGGTCCTGACATGATAGCAGGGGACTGAATTTGACCTCTCCAGGTTTCTTCCAGTTCTATGATTGTTTGATAGATTTGAAAAGGAGCATTTCCTAAGCATGATGTGTTCATTGCCTATACTCTTATATTTTGTATTTTAGGTTTCCGAAATTTACATTTGGATGATCAAATGACCCTTCTGCAATACTCATGGATGTTCCTGATGGCTTTTGCTCTAGGATGGAGATCATATAGACAGTCAAATGGAAACTTGCTGTGTTTTGCTCCAGATCTGATTATTAATGAGTAAGTAGTGTGAGTCATTTTCCCTGCATACTAGAGCTGTATTAAACTCTCTGAAACATTATTCTGCCATAAGAATATCTTGAGAGTAAATCCCACTAATAATGTATATCATTAGGTAAGAAAATTGTGCAAAAATCACTGCTGTACTGACATTGTGCCTACAAAATCAGTTTCCTTTTAGTACATGTGTATACTTTTAAATACGTCAAATGAATTGTTGCCTTTGAGAGCTAGCTTAAAGTTTGTGTTTTTGTCTAGAAGAGCATGGGGGAAAGTACGTTGGTGGATGGATGGATTCTAGATTGCTGATGCACCTACATCATTCATTTCAATAATAAGTCCTATAGGTTCAGGAAAAAATGATGCTAATGTAATGTTTCTCTAAAAGTTCTTCCTTGAAAAAAGATTGGCAAATGGTATAAACTTCTAAACAATCATACAATGCTATCATTGTCCCTGAAATGATCAGTGGCAGTCTGGATGCTGCTATATAATTAAAATGTTTGCTTAACTTGAACCCATTAAAAAGAGAATTTTATGAAACTATTTAAAGAATTGCTAATAGGGCTGTCAATTAACGCATGGTAATGCCTGCAATTAATGCAAGGCAGAATTAATGCATTTAAAAAGTTAACATTCATTAATTGCAGGCGTTTACACGCGGCACTGTCCCTTTGAAATGCCGCTGTGGCGCTTCAAAGGGGCAACGCTACAGGAGCCCGGGGTCAGCTGGAGTATTATTATTCCTTAACAGCATGTTTAATCGCAAATTAATTTATTTAATCACTTGATAGCCTAGTAGCTAATCATGCTTCTATGTCACCCTAATTGTACAAGTCAGCCTGTGGATTGTGTTTGTAATTCCACATCTGTTTTGTTTCAAACTCCTTAATAGGAGTCTACTATAAAAAGTGCATATTTCAGAAAGTTGCAGATTGCAGACAAGTTGTGTGTCCAGGAGAACACTCTTGGCAAACCAGTTTTGTCTATTTTCGGAAACATTTGTTCTTGTGCATTTTATGAGTAATTTTCTAGAACATTTGGATTTTTTTTCTTGCACTTACGGGGTTTTCAGTCTCTTCTGGTTGCTTTCTTGTAAATTGCGAGCAAATCCATTTAAAACCACGGACAGTCTGTGGCACTTTGAAGACTAACAGATTTATTCCAGCATAAGCTTTTGTGGATAAAATCCACTTTGGCAGATGCACCCATTTAAGTGGAGTTATGCTAGCATATAACATTATTCAAAAAGAAAATCAGGCCAATACTGCATATAATATAAAAATAGTATTAAGCTTTAAATCTAACATAGTTTAAACTTTTTAGTTTTTGATATTTTGATTATACAATCCAGAACAATATTTGTGGTTTTAAAATCAGATTTGTGTGTACACACTAGATTTATTTTAAATCATATGTTTCTATTCTGTGGATAATGTTTTCAGAAGACTTAAGAACTGTTACAAAGCTATTTTACAAGTTTTCTAGTTCACTACAGCACTACTTAAACTCAAATGACACTACGATTTCTTGAATAATAATAGAGATGTAGCTGTGTTAGTCTGGTCTCGCTGAAACAAAAAAACAGGACTATGCAGCACTTTAAAGACTAATACTTAGAGGGGTTTTTTTCAGTATTTAATTTAAATACAGCTAAGCTATCTTGTGAAATGTGGTACGTTGTTTTTAATTTTTTTTAAAGAGAGTAAAAAAATCAAGTTGTTCCCTGAGGCTATGTCTAGACTAAAGGCTTCTTGAGCAAGAAGCTTTTTTCGGAAGAGATTGTCCAAAAAACTTCTTGCGAAAGAGCATCCACACTGCAAAAGCGCATCGAAAAACCAATGCGCTTTTTTGAAAGAGAGCATCCAGACTGCCTAGACACCATCTCGCATGTAAGTAGTGATTGATATGGACAGAATGGCTGCTCGGTCTTGGGGGGAGGAAGTTTCTGCTGCTCTCACAGGGCCAGGTGTGAGCCAGGAGCCATCAGCCCTCAGGGTCTGTGGTTCTGGGGGTTCCCTGGCTCACGGTCCCCTCCTTTCCTAAATTTTCTAAATTTTGTTCCTCCAGTTTCCCGAGCAATGCTGGGTAAGTCCAGCTAGTACTTATTTATATTAATATTTTCATCTTAATGGTTCTAGAGGCATGAAAGGATTTATATCACAAAATCAAAACAATATCCAAAATTCAGTGTGAATCCTGGGCCAAAAACTGTTGGGGAAGGATGATAGTGGTCTGACAGATACCCATTCTGCTCTTTTACATTTGTGAAGGCTTTTATCCTAATAAGTTGCATGGGTTAAAGGTTTCTTAAGAATCTTGCCTGCCTCTGCCAAAAGTTCTTGCCTGCCTCTGACACCTGAGCTTAATCTTCCCTTGGGTAAGAGGTGATGGACTCATATGTCAGATATTATGGATCAGGAGACCATGTAAATATATAACAGATGAATAGTAACTATAATAAATCGTATTTGAATAGTACTGTGCACTTTCGGACACTAATTCACCTATGCTCTTTTTAGGTAAGCAATATAATCATGTAGAAAACACAATTTTGTGCATCTAAGTTAAACTGTATTGTATTTAATTTTAAATAAAGCATTATTGGGGTAAGTGATGTATATTGATTTGTTGAACTCTTCTGAAGATTCAGAGGGATAGCCGAGTTAGTCTATAACTGGAAAAACTTTAAAAAACAATGAATAGTCTAGCAGTACCTTAAAGACTAACAAAACATATAGATAGTATCATGAGCTTTTGTGGGTATAACATCTGAAGAAGTGGTTTGTACCCACAGAAGCTCGTACATGTACATGTTTTGTTAAGGTGCCACTAGGCTTTTCATTGGCTTTTAAGTTCTTCTGAAGGTAAGATTTTAGATGCTTATATTTTTTATTTTTGCCCTTTCATTCAGGTTTGAGTCTTGTTGGATTAGAGACCTTGGGGAAGGCGGGCTTGTGTTTGAAAGAAAAGCTAAAGCATAAATAGGGAGGCTAATTTAAGAAACTGCTGTTGCCCATGTATTTAAGTCAGTCAGAACCAGTATATGACAGGTATATGTGGTATTTCTAACACCATTTTGTTTCTTCTAAATATAATATTCTGAAGTTACCAGACAATTTGTAATTTGCTTGTAAGGGCTGCTGCTCTGTGCCTTCTTTCGACTTTATATGAATCTCAGTGAGACTATCCCCTTTGGCTCATCTTTAAAAACCTGTCTAGGTAGTAGAAATTGTCAAAATAGTCCACAGTAATTATTACAGGTAACCTTCCATTGTTGTGGCTCCAATGATACAGCAATGATGGGAAAACTGCCTTCTTACCATCATGGGCTGTGTCTCATTGGCGCGATCTTGTGCAAAAGTGGTTGCTTTTGTGTAAAAACTTGCTGCCTGTCTACACTGGCCGCGAGTTCTTGCGCAAGTAAACTGACGTTTTAATGGATGAAATCAGTGCTTCTTGTGCAAGAACTCTGATGCTTCCACTCAGGAATAAGCCCTCTTGCACAACTGTTCTTGCGCAAGAGGCCAGTGTAGACAGGCAACATGAATTTCTTGCACAAGAAAGCCTTATGTATAAATGGCCATCAGAGCTTTCTTGCGCAAAAGAGCATCTACACAGGCATGGATGCTCTTGCACAAAAGCACATCTCTTGCGCAAACTCACATGCCAATGTAGACGCTCTCTTAGCAAAAGAGTTCTTGTGCAAAATCATGCCAGTGTAGACGTAGCCATGTTGTCTAAACCTGTCCTAAATTAAATGGAGGCACTAGAGAATTCCTAGTGCAGTATATTAGCACCTAATAGGAAGAAGTCACTTTCTCTGTTTTATTCCCAGATAAGAAAACAATAAGCTTTAGAGACTTATTCCAGAAGTAGGGAATACTCCTGACATTAGTTGAAGGCAAAAGCAGCTGTGGGTGCTTTTGAAAATTAGGCCCTAATGCATGTGGATTTCAGAGGTGGCATCACTATGCTAAAATAACGCCCAGGATCAATGGAAGTCAAGATGAGCTAATTGTATAAAAACATTTGATCTTAGGTTTTTAAGCTAATGATTCTGAGGACAAACTGTCAAGACACTAATTAATTGTTAGCTTGCTTTTTCTAGTGTGCACTATTCCTTTTTGTAAATTACCGTATGATTGCTTGTTGGTTGCTTTTAAGCAAATAAATTTTCATCTTTGCCATCAAGAAAATAACTCAAAACCATGCTATAGCTTTGCTTTTATTATCTGTCACTTCACCTTCTTTATTGGCTTTGTGCTTCTTTACTGGTTTTGTCCTTTTTGTAGGATTTTATTCTTCTTACAATATATTTTGTGACCTTTTAAGTAAAATGTTCGTGACTCACTTGATTACTTGAAGTAGTCTGTAAATTTCAGTCAACAGTTCAAGATTCAGTTTTCCTATGAAAAATGTGAAATTGGCTTCTCTTTTATTCACAAGCTAGAATATCATCCCTTATATAGCATATAAACTGTTGCTTGAAATATAGAGCCACTAAACTTTTATATCATTATTACAATTTCAATGCCAATATTTTGTAATGGGCCAAAAGTGCCAGTGAAGCTATGAAAGTCAGTGTGGTTTTGCTCATTTATATTTACTCTGATTTTTAGGTTTTGATTCCTAATACTGGCTTTACAATTGGAATTGTATCCATTGCATAAGAGGTTGTGCTATTTTGCAGGGTTAATCCCACCCCACACTGGGAGTCCGGAAATTTGTATGTATCCTCATCCAGATCATGCCACATATTTGCTGTGTAATTTTTGACACTTAAGGCCAGATCCTATACCATTGAAGTCAGTGTGGCTTTTGAGTTCACTGTGAGCAGAAGTGGCCTATTAAACTATGCTTCAGTTTTCCTGTATTTAAAATGGTTATAATAGCCACCTCACTCTGGGGTGATTTGAGACTGGTATAATGCAGTTAAACTACTTTGAGATCCTTGGAATTTCTGTCCAGTCCTATCTTTATTTCATGATGGGAACCAG